TGAGGTTTTGTATGCCTGGAAGACTAGAAACAGCAACAGAAATAGGAGAATTTTAAAGAAGGGTGAATTTTAGGGGAACGACAGTGAATTTTGTTATGCTCATGCTGAGTATAAGATTCCTAAGGGATGTCCACTTGGAAATAGCCATAGGAAGTTGGAGACACTTGACTAGGGCTTAAAAGTGAAACTAGGGCTGAAGTCTGGGAGTCATTTTCAGAGAGATGGTAATTAAACCCAAGGGAAAAGCAGAGGAGGTTGAAAAAGAGCCAGATAGATAGGAGAAGAAGAAGAGAACAGTGTCATGAAATCTAGAGAAGAGACAGAATCCTGGAAAGGTGGATGGACAACAACGACAGAGAGGTCAAGAAGGAAGAAGGTCAGGACCAGATTCAGCCGACAGCTTTGACAATTAAGAGATCATTGGTAGCTTTGGAGAAGCAGATTCATCTGAGTGATGTGGTCAGAACCAGACTGCAAAGGTCTGAGAAGTGAGAGAGGGGAGGAAGCCAAGGCAATGAGTGTAGTCAGCATTTTCTAAGGATTTGGCTGTGAAAGGAGACACAGGATCATAATGGTTTGGTAGAGTGGTAAGGTCTAGTGAATTTTGGAAGGGTGGGAGAGGCTCGGACATGTTTGCGGGCAGCGGAGAAGGAACCAGTAGCTAGTTAGAGGTCGATGATTAGAGAGAGGGAGGGGGAATCTGCTGCAGAAGACAGGAAGGAATGGGATCAAAGGTTCATAAAGAGGGGTTGGTCTTTGAGAGAAGGGCCACGCCTCATCAGAGTGGGTGATGACGGAGCAGGGGGTGAGGCTTTGGGGTTTAGAGGAGAGGAGAGAGTTCATGGCAAGTGGCCTCCATTTTCTCAGGGCAGGTCCTCATCTGAAAAGCTAGGGGAAAGAAGTGGCATAGCAGGCTTGAGGAGAGAAGAGAAGATTTGGAACAGTTTTTTGTGGGACCAGGATAAAGAATCAGTAGGGAGTGGGGTAGCTAGGTGATGCAGTAGATGGAGCACTGGCCCTGGAGTCAGGAGGACCTGAGTTCAAATCCAGCCCTAGACACATAACACTCACTAGCTGTGTGACTCTGGGCAAGTCACTTAGCCCCGATTGCCTCACCAACAAACCAAAAAAACAGTAGGGAAGAGTAAAAGGATTGTGTTGCATTAGTAATGGCCCAATTCAGATAACACAAATTTGAAGGAAATTATTTGTTTTTCACTATTTCTATAGGGCCCACTGCTATATCATCTGGAGGCTTTAAGGTTATTTATTATAAATGAGCAAACAGGTACATACATAAATCCTTTATTACTCAAAAACAATCACCAACTTCTATGTCACCCAGAATCATCTGTCATTGATTCAGCGTTTGCCATGGTCTTCATTCATGTAGTAATTCATTCAACTAACATTTGTTACAAAACCTACTTTGAGAGTCACTGGCATAGACACAAAAAGGAAACAGTCTGTCCTTGAGGAGCTTATGATCCATAGAATCTCTTATGATCCTAGATTGAGAGCTGGAAGGCACCAAGGAGGTTATCTGGTCCAACTCCTCACGTTACAGAGGAGAAAATGAACCCCAGAGAGGTTTCACACAAGAATTAAGTGCCAGGACCTGGACCCAGTTCCTCTGGTTCCAAATCCCTCCTGCATTCCAATATGGCCCTTGCCTCCCCTCATACTTCAGTGAAGTGGTCTTTTACACGTACCTTCACGGTCTTTCAACTGTACTTGAGCCTGACAACAGCCTTGCCAAGTAGGTAGGGCAGGGAAGATCATCATTTATGTCTCGAGATGAGCAATCTTTGGCTCAGAGAGGATGTTACTTGTCCAACGTCACATCGCTAGTAAGAGGAAGGGATAGGACGAGAAGCCAGGTTTTCTCCCGGTTAAAGAGCTTTCTCTTTTAATTCTAAGAAAGCTTCTGTATCCAGATGATCTGAACAGATGTACTCGGACATAATTAGCCATGTTCTGCCACTAATCATCCGTGTGACTTTGGGCAGGAGACTTGAGCTTTCCAGGCCTCCGCTGCCTCATATTTAAAATGAGAAGACCCAGCTAAGTGATCTCTGAAGCCCCTTCCGGTTCTAACAGTCAAAGATTGTGAGTTCATTTTCTGGAGGGTGGATAAAACCAAGGATTTCAAGCTGCTTAGAGGCATAGCAACAAACACGCAGACATTTCCAAATAGACAAATAGATAGAAACCTCTTTGAATTTTTATTTTCTTTTTTCATCAAAATGGGCCTTTGAACCATTTTTGGAAATGACAAAAGGATCCAAAGAAAGACTAGAGAGCTAGAGTTAGGATAGTCAAACCTCAATCAAGGGGTGAAACTCTGAATTATGTTGAGCTCTTATAGTGGGAAGCTTGTGCCAAGAAGAAATAATTTGTCACATGGAAACTCTTCAATACAATAGCTATTACTTCATGGAAACCAAAGTTAATACTAATGGAATACATCTTGTATTTGTCTGAGCTTTTGTTCGTGCTATTCCTTCTTGCTTGGAATACCGTCCTTTCTCTGGCCTTCCAATACATCTTTCAGGTCTGTTTCAAATGCCACCGGAAGGAGCGGCTAGATGGCACGGTGGATAGAGCACTGGCCTTGGAGTCAGGAAGACCTGAGTTCAAATCCACCCTCAGACACTTACTAGCTGTGTGACCCTAGGCAAGTCACTTACCCCTGATTGCTTCAAACCTCCTCCACCCCAAAAATCAAATGCCAGTAGATCATAAACTCATTGAGGGCAGAGATGATCTACTTTTAAACACCTCTGAATCTTCCATATGATCTAGTACGATGCATGGTGTATAGGAACTTGTAGTTATTGTTGTTGAGGCATTTCTGTTATGCCAGACTCTTTGTGACCCAATTTGGGGTTTTCTTGGCAGAGACACTGGAGTGGTTTGCCATTTCCTTCTCCGGCTCATTTTACAGATGAGGAAACTGAGGCAAACAGGGGTAAGTGACTTGCCCAGGGTCACACAGCTAGTGAGTGTCTGAGGCTGGATTTTAACTCAGGTTCCCCTGACTCCAGGCCTGACACTGTATCCACTGTAGCACCTAGCTGCCCACATGAAGAAGCTACTCAATACATGTTTGTTGGGTGAAAGAATGAAGGAAATAATGATGGTGGCCTGGTATAGTAGATAATAAGCTGGGCCTAGCAACAGGAAGATCTGGGTTCAAACCTTAAGCCTGATGCTTATTAGCTGAATGGTCCTGGGCAAGTCACTTAAATTTTATGTGTGTCAGGCTACTGTCTTAGACTAGTCTACTTCCTTCTGCCCCAGCCCTCCACCCTCTGAAAAAATCACAGATATTTGGATATAGTACAGTTACCTAACCTGGGCCAACCTTCTAATATCCATGATTTGCAAGGGGCTGGAGATGGGGAGGGGGGAGGAGGAAAGGAAAAAGCATTCATTATGGGTCTACTACGTGCCAGGCACTGTGTGCTAAGTGATTTTATAGATATTATGTGATTTTATAGGTATTCGCTCTCTTAAAGTCTTTCTGAATTGTAGGGCTTAGTCATAAAGTAAAAAAAAATATAATGTGAGGTTTCCAGCTCCCCCCCCCCCTTTACCCATTTTCTTTCCCCTTTCTAGTCTGATGTTAGTGTGTATGTATGTGTGTGTGTGATAGTCAAACTTCATAGGCAACTGTTTCCTGTTGGAGCATGTTTTTTTTTTAAATTTCATCAAATATTTTCCAATTACATGTAAAATAATTTTAAACAATGATTTTTAAAAATTTTGAGTTCTGGGTTCCCTTCATCCCTTCTGCCCCTCCCCCTTGCTTGAGAAGGCAAGCACTTTGATTTAGATTATACATGTGAGATCATGCCGAACATTTCCATATTAGCCATGTTGCAAAAGAAAACACAAACAAAATAAAACAATAAAAATAAAGAAAGTTTAGGAAAAGTATGCTTCAATCAGCATTCAGAGTGGTTCTTTCTCTGGAGGTGGATAGTATTTTTTATCATGGATCCTTTGAAATTCTCTTGTATCATTGTCTTGATCAGAGTAGCTAAATCTTTCATAGTCATGCTAAATGTGCTAATGTAAGCATGCTAAATCATACTAACAATATTGCTGTTATCGTGTACAATGTTCTCCTGGTTCTGCTAACTTCATTTTGCATGAGTTCATATAAGTCTTCCCAGGTGTTTCTGAAACCATTCCGCTCTTATTTCTTATGGCACAATAGTACTCCATCACAATTCCATCACAATTATCACAACTTGTTCAACCATTCCCCAGCTGATGGGCATCCCCTCAGTTTCCAATTTTTTGTTACCACAAAAAGAGCTGCTATAAATATTTTTAAACACATAGGTCCTTTTCTTTTTTAAAAAATATCTTTGAATACAGACCTAGTAGTGATGTTCTTGAACCAAAGGGTATGCACGGTTTTATAACCCTTTGGACATAGTTCCAGATTGTTCTCTAGAATGCTTATACTAGTTAGCACCTCCACCAACAGAGCATTAGTGTCCCAAGTTTTCCACATGCCCTCTTTGCTGTAGCATGTTGTTAGCCTTTGGAAGCTCTGCAGACAACAGCAACTTTAGGTGAATCATTTTTTTTTTTTCAATTTTGGAAAAGTTGCCAAGGTGTATGAGTAAGAAGAGAAAGCAAGTGGGAGGGGAGGGACACAGAGAGTGCAAATTAGGAGCGGTTACAGTGGGAGTGGCTTCAGGCCTCAGGTGAGCTAACTGGCTCTTTCTGTTCTGAAAGGCATTGCCTCAACACCCAGTTTCTCAGCTCGATTCTTTAATTTTTTTTTTTTTTTTGCCATTACTTTCCCCAGGATTACTGCATAGCAAGGTAAGGGGAGGGGAGGGATCCGGGTGAATTTTCCTTCTTGACTTCTGAAATTTTAAAAGAAACAGTAACTTTGAGTAGGAAGGGAGAGAAGCTTAACGAAACAATACAATGGCAAGTTCTTAGAAATGTTGGTTTCCTACCCATCACTTTGCTTCCGCATAAGCCAGGCGATCTGTCTTACTTTTCCCACTGTGAACTGGGAGTACTGCTTCTGGGACAGAAATCAGATTGAACCAGACAGGGCAGAAACACATAGAGATAATCTCTTCAGGTAGGTGACCACTGATTCATGAAGGAAGAAGTGGTTTGCCCAGTATTCTGATTATGTTCTCTGAGTCTACTTTAGAATTCAGACTGCTGGTCTTGGATTCGTTTTGTTAAAGTCTTCTTTTTTTTCTTATCAGTTTCAGAAAGGGTGTGTATCCTTAAAAGTAAGCAAGTTTTTTTTTTTTTCACTTCTTAATTTGCTAATTACAAGGGAACCACTGGAGTAACTGGTTCACTCTTATTAGCAGGTACTTCTTAATCGGAATTTAACCTTATTAATATAATACACTTGTATCCTAAATATGGGGAAAAAAATCAGAGGAAAGCTTCTAGTGTATGGGTAGACAATTTATAGAGGCTTAATATTAACATTATTAATGCTTAATAATACCCAACTAACATTTATATATTGCTTTAAAGTTTGCAAAATGCTTTGCCTACCTTATGTCATTTGACCCTGTTTCTGGGAAATGTACACTAAAAAATGATCAGAAGACTGTAGGATTCATGGAGAAAGGCTGTGAGCTGCACATGTGAAAGGAGTACTCACACTTGTGAAGTCACAGATATGCCAAAGTACCAAAATTTAGTACAATAGCCATACGAGGTTTGTTTTTTTTTTTTAACTCTGTGAATTAAGTCATTGATTTGTTGGTTTCTTTCAGAGAACACAGAATTAGATCTCGATCTGGAAGGGACCTTAGAAACCATGTAGTCCAAACCTCTCATTTTACAGATAAGGAAACTGAGGCCCCAGGGGAAGATAAGTGACTTGTCTAAGATCCCACAGGTTTAAGTGGTGAAAGAGGAACTAGGCAGTGGCGAGATCTCTGGGCCTGGAGTCAGGAAGACCTGAGTTCAAATGCTACCTCAGACACTTACCAGTTATGTGACTGGGAAAATAATTTCACCTTAGTCTGCCTCAGTTTCTTCAGCTGCAAGATGGAGATAATAATATCAACCTGCCAGTGTTATTGTGAGGATCAAATGAGATATTTGTAAAGTGCTTTGTAAACCTTAAAGTACTACACAAATGTTAGCTATTATTATTCTAAAGAGATGAATCTTCTCTTATGGGTAAATGGGTCCTCATGAGTCCCTCTTACTGCAGTATTTAGTCCACATTTTCTCTTTGGCAACAAGGCATCATACACTCCCACAATCATTGCAGTTAGATCCTAACCACGGTGAAAAGAAACTTGACAAAAGGCCGTCTGGCCTCATGGAATCATAGACGTAGAGTGGGCAGGAATTTTTGGTGTAATATAATCTAACATCTTCATTTCTTATACAAGGAAAGAGAGGCCCAAAGAATTTTTGGATGGTTGAAGGTATTGGGACTAAGAAGAATGGGGTGAAATGAAGAAATGATAGAAGCTATGTTGCTATGAACACTGAAGCTTAGACTCCATGAAATTGGAGAGGATAATTTGTTGTACCAATTCTATTTTGCCACGGAAAAAGGAATTAGATAATTTACTGGGTCTTTCTCCCTAACTGTTATAATGTTTATTCATCATCCACATTGATCTTACAAATACAGAGTACTCTAAGTACTAGTATTTCCAGACTTTTTTTTTCTTTTAATGCCTACTTATTTTAGCCAAGCAAGTTTGAATCGAGTTGGGTGGGTCTCAAAGTTAACTGAACTCTGATCTTAAGAAGACTATGCCAGTTCCCAGCCATATTGCAGATGCTGAGTAATTTCCTTGTGGGTGGAGAAGCAGAGGACTTGTCCTATGGATTTGCTTAATCCAAATTAAGGATTCCCAGCAGAAAATGCTCCCCTATATTTCTAATTTTGCTTGGTTATATTTTGAAAGTGATCATTTCAGTCCCTCTAGGATTGCTGCTGCCACTGTAATAAATTCTGGTCATTGGGACACTGGGACAAGCCTGCCAACCTAGCAACATCGCTGGTGGCAATAGATCTGTCTTCTATAGCAATGGTAAAGAAAGCTGGTGTTTTAGATTATTCTAGTAGATCAGAGGGTAATTAAACACAAGAAATCAAATAATGAATTTCTAAAATTTCTGTTATCTCAGGGGCTTTAAAGACTTCTATTCTGCATTCTGGCTCTGGTTGTTTGCTTTTGGCACAGAACTCTTAAACATCAGAAGCTCTCTGTTAGGCATTTCATGAGTCTATTTGATTTGGTTTGATTGAACTCAATTCACACTTCTTAATGCCATTTACTAAATGCAGTAGGTTGTAAGCTTCTTAGCATCTTGGTTCTAGATCTGGGAGACACTTTAGAGTCATCTACTTCAACAGCCTAATTTTACAAATAAGGAATTTGAGGCTTAGAAAAGTGAAATGATTTGTCCAAGGTCATACAGAAATTATGTAGCAGAATTTAGATTTGAACCCAATACCTTTGATTCCAAATTCAGTACTCTTTTTGCCTCTCTTTGGGGTAGGAACTATTTTTTTTCTTTCTCTTTTCATCATCAGTGTTTAGAATAATGCCTTGCACATAATAGGTACACAAAAAATAGTTCTTGAATTATATGCTATGTGCTAAGTACATAGCAAACAAATCAGACTGTTTTAAATTCTTTATAGCACGAATTCCCAAGATATCGTGCATTAGAATAAAGTAGAATACATTTTAAAAAGTATTTTCCAATATAATGTTAAATCCAAATTAAAATTCATAAAAGCATTTAAGAGATACATTTAAAAAACTGGTTATTTATGCAAGCAAAATTATTTGATTTTATTTTTGTGTGTCTCTATGTTTGTGGAAGGCCCACATCCATTTTTTATAGATTCCCTCCTCCAGTTAACAGGGTCTCCCCCAAATCACCTTCTATATGTTTTGTATATACTTGAATATGTACAAATTGTCCCTCCAGAAGGCATATAAATTTCTTGAGGATAAGGACCATTTCATTTCTGTCTTCCTGTACCTAGCACATAGTTGTCACTTAATAAATACTCCTTGATTGATTAATTAGGAGAACAAGTTCTCTAGTTCTGTCTCATACAATAGCTCAAATTGAACATTGTTTTTCTGGGTTTATGGTTGCAAATGCTTTTATCCAAACTTTTGAAAGTCTGTGTTCCTGATCATCCCTAATCTCCTTTCTATGAATAGTATTGGTGGCTTCAGTTTTCTCAACATTAAGAAAGGTTGGCAGATCTGTCATGAAGCGTAACTGTAAGAGTGAGCAAACTGATTTGGAAAAGTAAGACCAAGTCACTAGAAAGCTAATTAGAGCAGATGCAAGTTAGTTCAAAGATAATTAACAGCAATAACCCTCACTGTCATTTTAAAATACAAATGTATTACTGGCAAATGTATTACATATTCGTGGCAAATGTCATTTGTTAATTCATTCATTCAACATTTATGAAGCGCCTACTCTTATTAAGAAGCTATGCTAGGGGGCCAGTTAGGTGGCACAGCAAATAGAGTACCAACCCTGAAGACAGGAGGACCTGAGTTCAAATCTGGTCTCAGACACATAATACTTCCTAGCTGTGTGACTCTGCCTCACTAAAAAAAAATAAATAAATAAAACAAACAAAAAAAGAAGCTATGCTAGGTTGAGCAGAGATAAGAAAACTAAGACATGGCTTTAATCCTTAAAGAACTTACAGTGTTTGTAGCTGAGATGTAAACATAGAAATATAATGAAAAAGGGAATATCATAAGTATATAAAATGAATAACACTAGTACAAGATACTAGGTAAGATCAGAGAAGGCATTTTTTTTTTTTTTAGGCAATTGGGGTTAAGTGACTTGCCCAGGGTCACACAGCTAGTAGTGCTTGGTCTGAGGCCAGATTTTGAACTCAGGTCCTCCTGACTTCAGGGCCAGTACTCTATCCACTGTGCCACCTACCTGCCAAGAGAAGGCATTTGAAGGTGGGATCATGAAGGCATTTAGGAGCTGGTATTTGAACTCAGTTGTGAGTAGAATTTCAGTAGACTGGACTGGCAAATAGGGTTTTCCAGGCCTAGGAAACAGTGCAAACAAATGCATATAGCCAGAAGAGCACAGGCTGTGTTCAGGGGACAGTGAGTTGTTCAGTTTGGCAGGAATATAGAGAATGTGTGTGGAAGCAGTGTGAGATAAGAATAGAAAGGTGGATTGGAGCCAGATTTTGGAGGATATTGAAGGTCAGGCTTTCAGTCACTAAGCATTGAAGAGAGTATGATGAGATTAGGGCTGTACATTAGGTAGATTAATCTGGCAGCCAAGTGGAGGACTGCTTGGAAGAGAGACTGACTGGGGGTGGAAAGGCAGGCTATGGCAATAGCCCTCCACTCTCCACCCCCTAAGTTGTTGTTGTTTGTCCTTTATGCTCAAAGAGGACCAAAATGACATCACTATGTTGTGGTCAATATATAGTGCACTCAACTCTGGCTGACCAGACTAATACAAGTGTGGGAGACTCTACCATAAATTCTGCACAAACAGTCTGTATGAACATTTGCGATGGAGATGTCTCTACATTTGAGCAGGTTATTTTTTTTTAGCTATTTTTTTTCTGCCTTGCTCATAGAGCACAGTGCCTTCTTTGATGAAGGCATGCCATGCTGGACAGTCCTATGCCAGTGTCTTCCATGTCTCATAATTGATACCAAAGTTCTTCAGAGAGACTTTGAGAGTCTCCTTGTATCACTTCTTCTGACCCCCCCAACCCCAAGTAATGAGAATATGAACTAGGGAGGTAGCCATAAGAATGGTGGGGAGAGGGGACAGATGTGGGAGATATAATATTATAGTTAATACCTACGAATGACAATTTTTATAAGCAAAGAGAAACAGAAAAAGCAATAAGCAAATCAGTTACTGCTGAAGGCCCTAACTTTTTTGTACTTTAATCATTCACTTTCCTTTCTCTATCCCCTCTGCTTATCTTTGCTTGAATACACAGTGAATCTATCTTTTCAATAAGCCAAAAGAAGTACAGATAAGATGCTGTGTTCTCAATATGGGTAGCAAATACATAACGTTTACAAGAAGGCTATGCTGAATGAATTGGAGTCT